AATGAAGAAACAGTCAACAAGTCCTATCAGGATGGAGTGTCAACATACAATTCATCAACTAATTGGACAAGAGAGATGTGGCCCAGTTAATGCATATATGCCAAGCAGCTTATGCATGAAACTTTCAGATGTATTTAAAAGGCAGGAAAGTGTGTATGGCATATCATTTGTGCCAACAAAAAAAATGTTTGAATGGTTTTTACAATGCATTTGTCTATGTCTATATTGTTAAACCCAGAAAACAAGACATCGTCCGGCCAATCAAATTGCCAGGGCGGGCTTTATACGATGATGGACAGATGATCTCCATTTGTTAAAATCAGTCAAGTCGCGCTCCAACCGTGTTATAAAGTTGAGACAGGGCCGACAAATGCGAGCAGATTTGTTTGCTTTATTGTCGAGATCTTAATCTTAAACGCAGAACTTGTTCGTATATACATTCACCTTTTCTGTTTCTCTCAAAAATGCTTTTTGGGGTTGCAAATACTTTGCGAATCCTTAAATTCTTTTCACAACACCCGCAAAAATAATTTACACTTAGTATTTTACTACTTCCAACGTGCGTGCAGTTGAATTCTGTTGACAACTATGGTTCGGTTAAGACACGTCTCATAATGAAAGCCCTATGGAGCAGTATCAGACTCCCTTTCTGACTAGAATATCATGAGAATGACAAAGTCAGGCTAGTTCAGTGCAGTATTAAGGAGAAAGTGCTCAGCAATGGTGTGACTTATGCATTTGCACATGGTAAATATACCACATAGACATAAACAACATTACATTTTTTTACGATTGCTATGACAGATTTTAACAAGTAAAATTTTTTCTAAAACTCTTAACACATGTGCACTACATCTGTCTGTGTAAGCTCTATTAACACATTTCTTGTTGCTTTAACACAAAATGCATATAATTAACACAAATTACTTGAACTTCTTTTACACACAAGCTCAAACAAGACCAAAACAATAGATTTTTACAGCCAAATTTACCAATGCTTTAACACTGTATATGTCAGAACAGATAACATCATGTTCTAAACCTAACCTTACAGGCTAAAGTCAAGGTAAACAGCAGCTTAGATTGTGAATTGAAACACACATATATCCCCTGTATTTTATTCTATTGTTGAGAAACAGCTGATTGAATTTTGTAAATACGGGACACTGATGCATTTCACAATTCCAGTGCAGTCATGGCCTGGTTTGATCCCATCAGAGGATGATGTCCCTTTTCCTTGCCCATTACTCCCCTTTCCCTTTCTTAGCCTGGAGATGGAAGGTTTTTGACCATAGTCCACAGGGCCAAATGTCCCTCTAGACATCCCAGCTGAACACTGCCAGGGGTGGATAAGGAATGCCAAAATTCATCCCATGATGCTGTGATGTGGATGAGAACATGTGGCCAAATGGAGAATACCAGGATACTGTAAGATGGCTTTTTTGTTTTTTCACATACAGTAATACTGTAAATGGCAGCTATTTATTTTTGTTATCTTGCAGGAATGTTACTGATTTGGTAGACATGAATTGTGTCATTGTATTGTTGTTTTTTTGAAAATCAGTGTTGGAGTTTAGTTTACAGTGTGTGATTTTGAGCATGAAATTAACCGTTTTACCATTTGTGTGTTGTAGGTGTGTTAAAAGTTTAGGAAATTTGTTAAAAGTATTGAAACAATTATCATAGCGATTGTAAAAAACTGTAACGGTTGATTTTCACAGGGGGACTTTAAGTACTTAATGACATGGACAAATGTACAGTAAAAAGCAGTCGATTCCTTTCTGACACATATTGAACATCATACAGAAGTGGAACGAGCAAAACTCTGTTACATCGATATATTGCCCACTCTACTTTATCGTATTGATAACAAAATGCATTTTGCATCATCAGTTCAGTCATGTGAAAGGGTGTCTTTTGTTGTCCAGTGTGGCGCAAGGGGGCTAATCTCTGTGCATATGTCCTTAAAAGCACTGATGCTGTTTTCCTCTTAAATTATTAAGCTTCTTCAGCGGCTTTAAACCATTGAGAGAAGATTAGAGAGGTTATTCTGTGACGGTGTGTTTGTGTGTGCGCGTGAGGTTGATGGTGTGTTAGTGTCTTCTACGTTCTGTTTGTGCAAGGATGCTATTCAATATCTCAATGTGAGCACTCCAACAGAGGCTGATCGATCCAGCGGTGCCAATTAAACCCCAAGCCCTTGTCTTTCAGAATCACGTTGGCCCTTATAAAGTGTTGCATCTGTCACTCAAACGACCAAAATGGCTATTTTGTACTTAAAATCAACATCTGGATCAGATACGGGTATGTATTTAACATGTTTAGGTGTAGAAATACAATCTTATTAGAGCATGCATGTGTTTCTACTCTCAATAGTGCATTTGAAAGAGTTTTTGACATGCACTGTTTTGTAATTTCCCTCTATGTGAATCTGTGTCTCTCTAATCCAGCAGTCTGTATCCTGTGTTGGGGAAGAAGAGGGGGTTGTAGGCTATGTGTTTCTGTAATCTTGCTATGTCTGTGTGGAACTGTGTTGGTAATCCTGCTGTGTGTGTGTGTGTCTTCAATGTAATCCTATGACAGCGAGCAGTTGTGCACGTGAATGGTCGTTATGCCTTGTGCGTTTAGTATCATGTTACGCGGTATCGCCGGCTGCACAGGCACACACTCGACTCCATGTGTGGACAGGGTTTGACATCATCAGCCGTCATTGCGGCACGGAGGTGATACGCGAGGGCAGGGCCTGGATCAGGAAAGACATTTGGCTTGATCTCTAATTTAGCAGAGGCGTGGCTGGGGGAGGGGAACGACAGGTTCGGAATGACAAACTAGAGTTAGGATGAAGATAGTAAGTAGTCTCAGATTAGCTGTTCCAACTTTTTAACCATTATGGGAAAATCGAAAAATCTGGTCTCATGTTGCAGATTTTGTGGGTTTAAAAAATGGGAAAGTGTATTAATCCAGGTGTTTAAGCGATGAAGTAATGTAATATCAAATAACACTACACTTAATTGTAATCAAGTAGGCCTATTTCACATCTGCTTTGGTATGTTGGTCAACACACCAAAATATGTGTATGTAACAGAGGCCAACTAGTATGAGCTGTGCATGTAAACCTCACTTAGCCTGCCTGCCTCCCAAGCCAAATTTTGCTCTGAACAGGTCTAGGGCCCATTACATGTAGTGCTGTGACCCAGTTGAGAGTGAGGTTTAGATGTGTAGGTGTAATGGAGGCAAGGTAGTAGTACCTCTCACCTGGCCACAAGAGGCAATGTAACTGACGCTAGAGGCTGGGTTCGAATTACGGGGGTATTGGGGGGGGAGGAGGGGTCCGACCCGCCTAGATGAGGCTTAGACCCTCCCAAAAGAGATGAAAAGAATAGTTTGGGGGGTACTGAAAAGAATTTAATAAGAATAATGTCAGCCTATCTAAAACTTGTACCATATACCAACAATGCAGGAAATGCGTGTTATTTGCTGGTTCTTCATGTACTCGTCACTGTCCTGAAGTGCGAAAATCAGCCTTTTAAATATCAACTGCCAACCCTCTCAGTCTTCACTCTTCATCGAGAAAGGAAATGTGAGTATTGCGCTTAATTTGCCTCATCTAAATAATTATTCAACACAACCTAACTTACTGCTTTCATTTTCTAATGTGACTTATACAGCAGTGTTGTGCTACGGAGCCCGGGATGTCCGTGGGGGGAAAAAACAATCAGTGTTGACAGTTTTGCAATCCGTCCGCTCAGTTTATAAACCATAACGTTACTCACGATTTTTTTAACAGTTTTTTTAACCCTCGGTTTAACAAATCGTGCTCAAGGATTAATAAATAGCAGCTAACGTTAATGCTACCCCCGAGTTTCTATCCGCGCTCTCAGATCTGTAAACCGTGCCTTCAGTTTTTGCAAATTCTACCCACAAATTCATAAACCGTGCCAACGCCGTGCCAGTCGAAATAGTTGTACCCCCCGAAAAGTCCTTGTTAGTCCGGCCGACTCCCATTCCGGGGACACCATTGGGAGTGAGTGGGACTGGAGGGTTACATGTAACGTTAACGTTACTTCTTTAAAACATGACAAAATATTTTTAAAATATGAATCAAAATGTACTTTAAAGTTAAACGTTTAATTTTACCCTATCACAAAGTGTACCTTTTTTAAAACTGTGCTTAAGTGTGTTAAACATTTAGCATTTTAGTTTAATCATATTAGGCCAGCAGCAATTCCCTCTTTTTAAGTTTTTAAGTACACCAAAAGTGCACATTACATTAAAAAAGCACATTTCTTATTTTTCGTCTTTTTTTGTCTTTTTTTGTACCAGGGGTTGATATAGCAAAGGTGGAGGTAGGGATGGATGCTCAATCAAACCTGAGCTACTGTGCAGCGGGTTTAGCGATGGAGCGCGCGTCGCGAGAGTAGAGGATAGGCAGAACTATTTATAGCTAATCCTGTTTAAGCGAGGTCACGCTCTCTACCGTCCCTAAGACAGAGCCGTGGAGTTAAACGCTCGCGTGCAAGCCTACGAGGAGCATCGCCTGCGCATTTGGTTCATTCCAAACAAAAAAACATCCCAAGAGGCTATTTAGCATTATAAATATCACAGGGGATTTTTTATATGCTTATTTGGCTTATATTGGACAACACATTCCAACCATTTTCAGATTTATTTTTATTTTTATAAATAGTATTCTTCAAGTAGCCATATCCTTAATCTTTAGACAAAAATACGAATTCACTCTTATATTAGATGTGGCTGGATACTGGAGCTAAAGGCTTCAATAAGATAATTCTGCACTATGGCTCTCTTGTTGATAATCATACATCAAGTTTATCACGGCCCGCTTGTCCATCACATCGCCCTATCTTTGCTGTTTGCTGGTGATGACAGCTGTTTCAACAAGGGATGACACCTGTACCTGGGACAAGCGCTGGCCAATGGGAGTCTGCGTTAAATCCCGAGCTGACGTAAATCTTCCACAGACTCCAGCGCGGTGGGCGGGTCGTTACGGATCGAGTTGTAGATCCACTGCGCGAGACTACTGATGCCAAGTGGAACTGACGCGCACCGGTTCAAAGTGAGTAGCCCACAGATGTATGTAATGAAAATGCATTATTATACGGTATATAAAAGGACTGTTTCAGATATTACTGTAGGGACCAAATTACATTTTGATCAAATGGCAAGTGATAACAGATTCCGGTTAATATCGGAGTATAGCCTAAGTTATCTTAAAATTTTAGCTTGGGGAAACCGCGTCGTTTTTGCGTGGCTTTTAGGATTTCCTCCTTATGTTGTGCTTTATACTTTCTGACAGCAAAATATGATTCTTTATGAAAATTCATTAGTGTTCCGTCCCTTTCTAAATATTCCCCAGACTTAGGCTATGCAACGAAGAAAAAAATAATGGTGTTTTTTTTTCTCTCAGATGATTTTTAATGTGAAGCAGTATTACATGTTTAGATACTAAGGCCTATTTCTGTTAAAGTTCGCGTGCGTCTGTCGAGTTATGTGATTGAGAGACTGTCGTTTAGTCTTCCTTCTTGTAGCCTTAACTTCATGCTCATATATCGCTTGCAACACAGAATAATGGGCCAATTACTGCGCGCAATGCTGTTTGTGTTGCCAGAAGGATTTTGCATGATGGCACAATGACTTCATAATCATAACTTCCTGCATCATGCTTTCTGCGTTGGTGGCCATGAGCTTTAGGTTTGATTTGTCTTCAGGTCATTGCATGTTTATTGCATCTATCATTTTATGGTAATAAAATAGACTAAGAGTAGAATATGTTTATAATTTTATGGTGATGAATGTCATAATGGTAACAATGTATGCCGTTTTGTTTGGAGTTGTCAAAACAAAATGTGGTAATGTTAACACTTTATTTTAAGGTGACATAGATACACGTTACCACATAGTAATAAAAGTGAATTATGCATAATTACAAGTTACTAACCCTAAACCAAACCCCTAACCATAAGTCTTGTAAGTATGTGTAGTTAATTAATATTACTTAGTAGGCTACTTATTTGAGTAATTACAATGTAACTATCTCAACTTAAAATAAAGGGTTACACTTTATTTTTAAGGTGTCATTGTTAGAGTTTATTTATATATTTAGTAATGAGTACATGTGCTGGTTAGGGTAGGATTAGGGTTTGGTTAAGGGGTTAGTAGTTGCATGTAATTATGCATGATTTACTATTATTATTTTGGTAAGTACATGAAATATGTAACAAGGACACTGTAAAATAAAGGATTACCAAATAAAGTGTAACCCAAAATGTTGATGGGGGTCTCAAAATATGTACAATTCAGCAATGTTTTTTGTTTAAGTAACCACAAAGTTAATATCCACAGACGCTAGCGAACATATGGTGATGACTACCATAGCAACAGTTAGCTGCTCGAGAGGTTTCCTCATGTCGACAAAACATACTACTATTTATCTTTTTATTATAGGTTTACACATTTGTCACTCAAAAAAACGTAAGTATTTTGCTTTAAAAGTTCTTTAAGATAAAGTTAACTAACTCGCTTTGTAAAAGACAACTTGGGGTGCAAACATCATATAAAAATACCATCACATACCAACAATGCAGGAAATGTGTGTTATTTGCTTTGCTAAAAGCGCGAAAATCAGCCTTTTAATTATCAACCGCCAATTGGACTCATTGTCGCAGTCTTCATCGAGAATATTATACACTCAGGCATATTATACACTCACGAAAATACTTTATTACTTGAACGAAGTAAATATACATTAATGAGCACATATATTTTTGAAAGAACTAAGTGTTTTTAGCTAAGAATAAACTAAAAGAGTTACACAGTGTAGCTTTAAAAGGCTTTTGATACTTTATTTTGAGCCGTTTTAAAACACCAGTTATTCTTGTTTCTGCCATAGGCCTAAATATGGAAGAGCCATTGCCAACATATGGCGCTTTTCCACTACACAGTACCAGCTCGACTCGACTTGACTTGACTCGCCTTTGTTTGGTTTTCCACTGTGTAAAAGTTACCTGTACCTGCTTTCAGGTACTTTTTTTTGTTCCATCTCCGGCGAGGTTCTGAGCGAGCTAAGGCGAGCTGAACTGGTACTAAAATGTAACGTGAAAACAATGCCGACTGCTTATTGATCAGAGAGAATCGTCACCATTCACTGCGTATCCAGAATATCCCAGACATTTTTAAATAGTTTGGCCAGAGATAGTTACTACTATTATTATGGCAAATACGCCGTGGTCAAACGAGGAGGTGCAGACTTTTCTTAGTTTGGTTGCCGAAGAGAGGATCCAGCGAGAGCTTGATAGGGCAACGAGGAACGAAAGGCATCACTATGACGACCGGGTATTATTTGTGGCAGTACTGTCTGCAATGGAAAACGGCGAGCCGAGTCGAGTCGAGTCGAGCTGGTACTGATCATGGAAAAGCGCCAATAGACTTTAGCCAGTGTGCTTATCTATGCAAAGTGTATTATGACAGTTATGTGAACGTCAAATTGATATTTCATGTCATACAGCAAATATACAATACTGAACTTATTAGATATGTTCTAAGTTAAAGTCCGGTAAAATAAGAAGATATTCCTTTCAAACGCTCATTCATTAACACTTCTCACTTATTCCCTTCATTTAGACAGTAATATCCACATCTGATGCATGTGACTCACACTTCTCATTCACAGCATATGGATTTTAATTTGACACATTGAAGAAGGTGCAGCTGTGTGTGGACATTCTTTATAAAAGTCCGATTTTAATTTTACAATACCAGTTTGGACGTCACATAAAATGATTGTGTATAAAACCTCAAATAGTGACATTCAAGCTGTTTCTTTATGAAATTCCCCTTTAGTTTATTTGTGATCCAAATAAATGTACCGAATAAAAGCTTCTTTGTTTAATACAGAATAGTAACTCTTGGGCTCTATCCGGCTCCCTCAGAAGTCTGAATGAATTGTGGGTACTCTAGGAATGAGTAAACGTGTTTGTCTGTGTTCAACAGTGGATACTCTTCCATATATACAGCAGCCATGGCTGTGTGTCTCACTACTGCCACGGATTGTCTAATTAGATTAAGCAAGAAGCTTTCCTAAGATAATCATTCAGCAAGCCATTTCCTTTAATGGAGACTGTGCTCCTCAAGACTGTAAACTGAAGGTCAAATAATTTGAAGAAAAGGATCATTTTTGGCATGTCGCTTTGTAATACAGACTCTTGTGGTGTTGTTTGGGGTAATTGTACATGACAGCGAGTCACACAGTCTCTGAAATCAGCACCTTCTGACTGTGCTGGTCAAGGTGCTGCGTTTGTCTCGTTGCAGGAATGGAAACAAATCTGTGAGTATATTCTTTTTCGTCTGTTTAATGATAATGAATTGAAGTATGTCGACTGTCACGGTGGGTTTTAGTTTAGCACTTGTGTGAAATAATGATTTCAGTCCTTTGATTGACATGTCAAGGTTGGATTTTGTTGTTTTCTTCTCTAATTGGGAAAAAAGACATATTTGACACTGATCTTGCGACCAAGCATTTAAGGTCTGAAGAAATATGAGGTGCTTTAAAGTCTTAAAACTGCAGATATGTTTAAGATAACCAGAACATATTGTGTTGTCTATGACCTTTGAGAGGACTTTAGATGTCACTCCAAACAGCCTTTAAATCCTAACATAATTTACAATTACGTTGATTTTATTGGCGATTTGCAATGAATATTGTTTGTTCATTTGTTTGTTTGGTCAATTCAGAGTTATTATTGTTACGTAAACTATTTCCAAAATGTTAATGAAAAATATAGTAGTATAAATAAGGCCAAAATAACAGTGGTTTGATCATCTGTTCATTTAGTTATGTTTTCTACAACGTTATTTCCCACTGTATTTTGAACAGAACTTTTGAGTCGAGTCTATTGTTCTTGGCAGGCCTCTTCTAGACGAGATGCCAGTTTTATGTAACAGAACTAATTTTAGCATTCCGCTCTTTAAGCAGACGTAACGGATCTTTCCACTGAAAGGTCATTACAAAAGCCTAATGTCACTTTGTATACCTATCAACATCATATTTAACAGTGACACATGGTTTGATGTGACTTCCTTTGTTGATTGACAGTGGTATCACTGGATCTGGCAGTTGTGACAGGACACAAATAATCACATTTTATTTGGCTTCAGGAGCTAAATGTTCATAAACGCTGACATTGGAATGATAGAGCATGTAATGAACTTGCTTTCTGGTTTTGTTTCAGATGTAACTCGGTGCACACCTGATGATTTGACCTTCAGTGACCCCAATCAAACGAAGATGAGAGAAGAGACACCAAAAAATCAAGTGGAAATGGCATTCGAATTACACCTGGTTTGTCATCAAAAGAGTTGCTTTTTGCATCCCTGAGGAAATAAGTCTGGATATTGTCACCGCTTGCCCAAGGGGAAGCCACTTCTCCTCAGTTTATTGGTGCGCTTCTTTGGGACCATGGCCAGAAACTCATTCCGTGGGTCGAAGTACAAGGCAGAGGCCAATCATGATGGAGAGTTTGGCTGTACACTCAAAGAGCTACGCTCTCTCATGGAATTCAGAGGGACAGATGGATTACAAAAGATTCAGGAGTGCTATGGAGATGTTCAAGGACTCTGCTCCAGGTTAAAATCATCACCAACAGAGGGTAAATATTTCATTAATAATTGACAATAGTATTGTCTTTTTTTGTTATTTCCAAAACAAGCCCACTTTGTGCATAACTTCATATTTGGGTTACCTGGAAAAGTGTAAATATTTACTGTGCTTGTCCGATTTGCTGTTTAAGTCATTTCAACTCATTTTTTTAAATATTGCCTAGATGAATTTTGTGTAACTTAAAAATAAAGTTGAAATTGGTCAAATCATTTTGATAAAGTAATGGAAAAACACGTTGCCATGACTTATTGATCTTTAAAAAAAAATGTGTACACACTGTAAAAAATATTGTTGGTTTAACTTAAAAAATGAAGTAACCTGGTTGCCTTGAAATTTTAAGTTGATTGAACTGGAAAAGTGAGTTAATAGAATGAAGGAGAAAAAATGTTGTGATAACAAATCTTGAAATTACATAGGAAATAAGCATGCACAATTAAATATCCAATATCAACTGATACGAGAAATGTACAAAATCTCTAATGTCGTCCAGTTACCGATATGGTCCCGATATATCATGCATACCTAAAAAGAAACATCACTTTCAGCTCTGCTGAGCCACAGGTCTTATTAAACCAAGTAGTTTAGTGACTCTGAGGCTGATTTAGTCTGGTGGTTAATTATACTATAGATCTGAGCTGAGCAAAGGTTGAATCTGATCCATGACCTCTCACCATTTTGCTCCTGAGAAAGGCATTTAACCTCAGGCCCCACCAGGAAGATTGTCTCTGCAACAAGTGTACTGTACACTTAATAAATGCGACAACTAATCGGCCATTAGACATTTCAAACTTATTTTTCCATTTGCTTGTGTGCGTAGCATTTAAGAACCATAAAGCTTTGATCAAGGACAATATATTAGCTTTTAAGACTCTCTCTCAGCATCTCCTTTGGATGATGCAGCCCATAATGAGGTATAGTTCGTCTGCATGCTCCAGGTGACCACTTTATGCAGCCTATTTTTGACCATATTAGGGAGGATTTTCATCTAGCACATGTAGATTTTTTTTCCAGCTTATGAACGATAAAAACATTGACAGACAATCAGAATATAGTTATGGTTAGTTTTTGTTCTTGGTGTGAACTGGCCTCCTTCAGCATTTACGAACTAATACATTATCAAAAAGTTGTATCTGTTGCTAATATTTTTTAATGGACATTTGTTATTTGTTCATGTATTAACTGACATGAACTAATGGGAGCTTATTGTAAAGTGTCAATGATTTTTTAAATGATTGACAACCCTAACATTTTAGTCATTATGTACGTTATGTAAGTGTCTTTCTAAGTGCCCATGGTTAGGAGTCAATGCTATAATGAATAACAATATTTAAAGCTACACTGTGTGATTTTTACCCCCATCTAGCGGTGAAAAGGATTGTGACGATCCAGTGATTATTAGTTTCTGTTCCTCTCAATTCTGATTGAACTCCTACGGTGGCCAATGTAGTCCAAGATTAACATGGCTTCCTGTTCGACCTCGTCCACGAGTGTTAACCCAAACGTAAACGCAAAAGGCGAAGCTTGAATTAACGGGTATGTCCCTCTTTGGCTAATGTACTTTCAAGATGGAGAGGCAACATGGCAACCGACATTAGATCCCCTTACCCGTATGTATTTTCATTGGCATATTTTACACTCACGAGAATACTTTATTACTTAAACGAAGTAAATATACACTAATGAGCACATATATTTTTGAAAGAACTAAGTGTTTTTAGCTAAGAATAAACTAAAAGAGTTACACAGTGTAGCTTTAAAAGTTGAATTAACCTCCCTCACACTTGTAGTCAAATCTCAGTTATTAAGTGTCAGTCAGTTCAAATATGTTTAACCACTGCATTGGAAATGATTGCCTTTCTTGCGTAGCAAATGGCATCTGGCCTTTGTCACTTAATCATCATGGTCATCATCAAAGTGACCATGTCGTCTTAGATTCCCTTTCCATTTTGCACATTTCACCTTTTTATTCATCTCCTTCTGTGCTTAGTTTAGACCAATCCATATATCCCAACAAACTCAACTCCAATCATTTGTCTTACACCATGATAGCTTATGTTTCCCTTGATAATTCCAGTGAAATATGTTTACAACTACTCTTGTGATTCTTTCTTTTAAGATTTGGATGTGCATTATAAATTACACAGCCTTCCTGTTTTGAAAGACTCTCTTGTAACAATCTGATCTTGATTATTGGTGCATTAAGTCAAGATTTATCTTGTCATCCATCTATATTGTTTGGTTCGATTTGCACTGGCTTACTGCCCTGTGCTGACATATTTAGCTTTGTCATGAGCCATAACAGACAGTTGTAGTTGTGACAGGTGGGACCAGATCAGTTTACCTCATGTAATCTCACTCACCTCAAACCGAGGCAGGCTCTTCATTGCTCCGCTTCACACTAATCTCGCTGGCCGCTGCCCTGCTGCATGGGGTTTGCATTAATTTTTGCCCTTGCCAACAGTGGGTAAACCTTTGAGGGGACAGAGGACTAGCGTTTTGCAATTGAGCAAGGGCGGGAAGAGAGGGATTACACCGTGTTCAGGCTGTGCTCTTGCTTGCGCAGGGGTTGGCTTGATATATTTTGGAATCCATTATGTTTAAAATGAAAAACAAAACAAAATATAAACCCTCTCCAAATCCAATTCAATTTCTCAAGCATTGTAAAGTAGAACTAGATGCCAAGTCCAAGTTTGAGGATTGACTGATTCACTCAACTTGATCCATCCGTCATTTTACAAAATGATTTATCATTGCAAACTTAGTACATTTTAACCTCAGCCTCATTCAGACTGTCAGTCCACATACAATTTTTGGAATATAAAGCCACGCATACCAGCCTTGTACGTTTCTGCCGCTGCCTCATAAGACACAGTAGTCCAGCGTGGCATCTACACATTGTCATTTTGTAAATAGGACAGCATTTGGCACCTTAAACAATCGCAGTCTTCTTACAAGTCTCTGCAAAAGTGTGCATCAAGGGTGCCTATCAACTGCAAAGGGGGCGCTCGCACCCTTTCGAAACCTAAAATGACAAATGGGACATGCGCACGTGCATGCGGCAGCCATTGTAAGTCCACAAGACTGAAAGTGCATATGAAGTGTGCCATTTAGGACAAGGCCATTGCCATATAAACTGATGCAGCTATTCAGAAAATAAAAGAGTTCAAAAATACACAATGTGGACAGTCGATGGTTTTACGATACACAATATGGATTGACAGTGTGAATGTAGCCATGGATACCCCATAAGGTGTGATTTATAGATGTTTAGGTCATCTAAAAGTAAAATCTGATTCAAACATTATCTTACTAAGAAACCTTTCAGAAATCTCTTCATCTTTGATCAATGCAGGGGTGTTAAATTATGCAATTAGAAAATCCTCTTTGACTGAAATGGCAGTATAATATTTTTACAATCAGAACCATACAATCAGGTTAGATAAAATCAATTTTTACAATACAATATTATAAATACAATATGTGTTGTGGTTATTTGCCCTTAGCATTTTTATTATCTACACTTTATTAACGTTTTCTGTAATAGCAATAAGTAATTTTACCCTGCTCTTTCTCTTTGTCTAGGGTTAAGTGGTCATTCGGATGACATTGCAAGAAGAAAAGAAGAATTTGGAAAGAATTTTATACCACCCAAAAAGCCCAAAACATTCCTTCAGTTGGTGTGGGAAGCATTGCAGGATGTGACTCTAATTATTTTGGAAGTTGCAGCCATAATATCCTTAGGCCTTTCCTTCTATAAACCTCCTGATGGCGAGAGAGAATGTGAGTATCGTAGGGCTTTTAAGCTTTCTCTTGCTCAGTGGTACTCTGGAATATAAATGAATTTGAAATTGTAACATGGCCTGAAGGTGACGTAGTGCTATTATGTATTCAGCTCACCCAGGGCTTCTGGTTTTACCAAAAAAATATTTTATCTGAGCTCTGTCCTGCATACCCTGCTGAAAAATCCAGCATAATGCTGATTAGAGCTGGTTTAGAGCTGATATAGATATAGTGAACCAACATAGTCATGCTGTTTTCAATCAAAACTGAGCTGGTGTACCGTTTCCCATTCTGGTCCCATCATGCAAAACACACCTTTTATTGGTTAACAGCTATTTTCGGCAGGGGATCCTTTACTTATAAACAAAAGTGCAAAATCGATGAAATTGCCTTCCATGGGCCAGATTAACGTGAGACTGCAACCCCATTAAAACACTAATGGGAGTGGAAAGTTCTGCATGCTCTTTACTGACTATTTACTTACTTTACCAGTGTATTGATTACCGCGAACCTTATAAATCATGTTGCATGATTCATTAAATACTCTTCTCCCATTAATATTACGGAGAAAAAGTCCTACAAATGCAAATGCAATAAGGTCAGGCATAAAAATGACCGTGTCCACACCATTTCATCGCTGATTTTTCACTGTGGGTATTTAGTAAATCCTGACAGTAGTTTTTTAATGCCAAAAGACGGTTTGTGCTGGCCCCAATGTTGTATTGTTTTTTATTTGAAAAAACATGCATCAACATAAATTATGTTTTTGCATGTTTGTGACATATACCAATGGGTCAGTTGCAGCATCATATTCAAGATGAGTCAGTCTCTCAATGTTAAATTTGGACCCTGCAAATGCTGCACATGCAACTAAAATACCTGAAATGATCCTAAATTAACACTTCAGACTTATATTCACTAATCAAAAGTAAAAAAGGTACAAAAGCTGTCACTGGGGCTGTACCTTTTCAAAAGGTAAACTTTTGTCCATTTTAGGTGCTAATATGTACATTTTAAGTGCTAATATGTACATTTTAGGTATTAATATGTACATTTTAGGTGCTAATATGTAAATTTCAAGTGTTAATATGTACATTTTATGTGTTAATATGTATATTTTAGGTGCTAATATGTACATTTAGGTACTAATGTGTACATTTTAGGTGTTAATATGTACATTTCAGGTACTTTTTAGGTGCTAATATGTACCACTAAGGTACCAATATGCAGCCTTTGGGTACAAAAGTGTACCTTTTGAAAAGGTACAGCCCCAGTGACAGCTTTTGTACCTTTTTTTCTGAGCGTGTAAGATTTTTTAATGTTTTTGAATTTGAAAGAGGTCTATTATGCTCACCATCTGCATTTATTGGAAAAAAAAAATACTGTAAAAACTGTAATATTGTGAAATGTTATTACAATTTAACATAGCTGTTTTCTTTTTAATTTATTCCTGTGATCCAAAGCTGAATTTTTAGCATTATTGTTCTAGTCTTCAGTGTCACATGATCCTTCAGAAATCATTCTGATATTCTGAATTGGTTTATTATTATCAATGATAAAAAAAACAGTTGTGCTGCTTTATATTTTTGCAGCATTTATTTGAACTAGAATTTTTTTTAACATTATAAAATCACTACGGAACTGTCACAACTGAATTGAATTGCTGAATAAAAATATTAATTTCTTGCAATAAAACCCAAACTTTTGAAAGGTAGTGTGCATTTAACATAACTAGTCTTATAATTTAAGACTTACAGTATATATACAAGTTGCCATTGTAGCTATTTCTTACATTTACTTTCACATTGGTGCAGACTGTGGTAGGGCGGCTGGAGGAGCTGAGGACGAGGGTGAGGCGGATGCGGGCTGGATTGAGGGTGCTGCCATCCTTTTGTCTGTTGTTTGTGTGGTTCTTGTCACAGCATTCAACGATTGGACCAAAGAAAAACAATTCCGAGGACTCCAGAGCCGCATTGAACAAGAGCAGAGGTTTACTGTACTTCGAGGCGGTCAAGTCATTCAGATTCTTGTATCCGAGATAGTGGTTGGAGACATCGCACAAGTAAAATATGGTAAAATAATGGTCTCCCTTGAGATTCAAAACTGTTTTAATATATTAGACAATTAAGAATGAGTCAGACATATATTTTTAGGATGTATTCAAGATTTCATTATTTGCTCAACCCTCGTGTTGCTTTAAACGCACATGCTGTTAGATGGAAGTTTTGAAGAATATTTATACAGCTCTAGCCTTAAAGTGACCATCTATGGTGACCATATCTGTCAAGCTTAAAGAAAAGGACATTTTTTTTTAATTCTGCATGTGAAAGTGCTCAATATATAGAAGTCAATATTATGACATTTCAGTTTGATTCTCACACAGATCTAACTTCAGTAGAGTCTGATCTGGTTTTGTGGTTCTTTAAATTGTCATTGTATAAAGGGGAAACAAGCTGCATACTGGTTTGGAACAACACGAGGATGACAAAATCATCTTTTTTGTATGAACTATTCCTTTAAAAAAATAATGTTAAGTCTGTTTTTTGTTCTTGCTTTTGGTTTGCATCGGCCTTGCTCGATTAAAACCTCTCTTTTGGCTTGCAAACATCTGTCTGTTGTGTCTCAGACGACACCATCTGTCCTTTGTGCTTGCAGGTGACCTCCTTCCTGCTGACGGTGTACTTATCCAAGGCAACGATCTGAAAATTGATGAGAGCTCCCTCACGGGAGAGTCAGACCATGTCAAAAAAACTCTGGATAAAGACCCCATGCTTCTTTCAGGTTTTTCCTCTGCTTTTCTTAAAGTGACAATAATCGTAAAATTCAAAAGGTCAAGACTGATGCAGTTTGGCCATTGCAATACTTAGATCCCTACATGTCCATTTTTATCTCGTTTGCTCAGGCACGCATGTGATGGAAGGCTCCGGAAAAATGCTGGTCATTGCGGTGGGGGTGAACTCTCAGACGGGAATCATCTTCACTCTGCTCGGAGGCGGAGATGATGATGATGATGATGACGACGATGAGGAGAAAAAAGAAGAGAAGGAGAGGAAAAAGAGGGAGAAGGAGGAGAAAAAGAAAGAAAAAGAGAGGAAGAAGAAGGAGAAGAAAGATAAAAAGAAAAGTATGTTGCTCAAGATGAGTTTCTGAAATGCATTTCCAAAATAATTCCTTGTTTTGAAATGCATTTATTTTGTAATGTTGGCCAGGAACTGTGTAGATGCATCATTTTAAACATACATGACTAAAATCTGACATCATCTCCAAATGATCTGTATCTATAAATATCACAAATATGTGATTGATCCATGTCACTTTTCAGACAAAAAGCCAGAGGCATCAAATAAAAAGAAAGGTGTGTATGAGCACGTATGCTGTAATCGTAGATCATAGCATTTCCTTTAGATCAGGGGTTCTCAGCTGGTGGGTCGTGACATAGGCTAAATGTGCCGCATGTCTGTTCTGATGGGTTGCTGGCCAAAACACTGCTAAACGTGAGCACGAAAATCACACATTTAATATTAAGGACATTTTCACTTTTGTATGACAAAACCAGTTGAGAACCACTACAGGAAAAATGAGTTACTGGAAGTAGCAGTCACTGTTCAGTCAATAGTCGCTCTTTTGCAGTAATAAGATTGATATGATTAGCAGTAAGAAGATTACCGCCTTTGGCCTTACAGCTCTACTTTTTCCTCTTGTCCACATACAAACACATACAGGCAGACACATACTGTAGGTCTCCACAGTAAACAGTGTGTCACAGTTTACACAAAAGTTTTAAGCAGAACAACTGATTTCCACATTGGTAATAATAAGAAATGTTTCTTGAGCATATACACATATATACACATCAGCATATTAGAATTATTTCGGAAAGATCATGTGCCAGGATGCTGCTAATTTGTCAATGGACTGAGGTGAGACTGCTGAATATATATATATATATATATATATATATATCTTATCATTGATTGCTGTGTGCTCTCCACCCGTGTAAATGATCTAAACCTCCCGAACTTTGTTAATAAAACATAATTTAAAATTCTAATTGGGTCCTCACACCATCGGCGCTTGGGCCCTTAATATGTTAAAATAGAAAAGTTAATAAACACTGTACATGCAGTTACATTATGAAGCTATTTCATGTATTTTGTATTTCGTAGCGCAATGTATTCGGTCGGGTTCAGTCATTTTGACTTCAATGAAACATCTTAATTGTAAAAAACACATTTTTAGGTTACATGACAAATCATTTTAGTTCAGCAACAGTTTGATTACATGCAATTGCATAGTTTTAAACTTCACTTTTTGGTTTCTGCCTCATTCAGAGAAGGATGGAGGCACAGTGGAGATGGAGCCCCTCAACAGTGATGATGGAACAGAAGAGCAGAAAAAAGCCAAGTTACCAAAGAAAGAGAAATCGGTACTTCAAGGGAAGCTTACTAAACTAGCTGTACAAATCGGGAAAGCAGGTAAAAAAAACAAAAACAAAACATAAATCTGTGATTTCTTCAAATTTGCAAGTTACTAAGATTATTTTTGGTCCAATTCATATGTTTCACAACTAATAGAGGTGTTTTTTTTTTTCTTCTTTTTTGCCAGGTCTCTTAATGTCGGGCATCACAGTCGTCATTCTTATCGTGCTCTTTTTGGTGGACACTTTCTGGATCCAGGGGGTTCCGTGGATCAAAGAATGCACTCCCATATACATACAGTTTTTTGTCAAGTTCTTCATCATCGGTGTCACTGTGCTGGTTGTTGCCGTGCCTGAGGGTTTACCCCTTGCTGTCACCATCTCATTGGCCTATTCTGTAAAAGTATGTGGTTCATCTTTTGTAGAACTTTAATGACAAACTTGTACATATGAATGGTGCTTGTACTGAAGTGAAGTCATCTATGTCATTATCTGTAGAAAATGATGAAGGACAACAACCTGGTGAGACATCTGGATGCTTGCGAGACGATGGGCAATGCCACTGCGATTTGCTCTGATAAAACGGGCACCCTTACCATGAACAGAATGACAGTGGTTCAGGTGTATATTGGAGACAGACACTACAGGAAGGTCCCAGATCCTGATTTGATTCCTGGCAACATCATGTATCTGCTCGTCACAGGCATCAGCGTTAACTGTGCGTATACTTCAAAAATAATGGTAAGAAACTATATTTTGCATGAATGTGTGTTTGTGTGAGAGAGTCCTCAAAGACCAGCAATTATCATCAAAACACTTTTAAATATACAGTGGAATTCCAAAAAAAATTTGACCACTGGAGATAATTACTCAAATTGAAATATTTGTTTTATTACAAATTATATTGTCACATTATTTAGAAATTTGAGTGACTTTAATTATGACTCATTTTGATTTAATGCCACCAACACATGAGTTGACTGAACTCCATAAGCTTCTGTAAAATAATCACAAGTGTAACAAGTATAATAGATTAAATATAATATTTTATAATGTATTATATTGAAATGTCTTCTTCATTTATGTTTAATTCATTCCTTCATTTTATGTCATAACCTTATATATATATATATATAATTTATTTATTTAAAGATAAATCAATGTTGTTTCAGACTTTTGGACCACACTACATTCAAACTTTTTCTGTCATGATTTATATGATGTAAGCTATTTTTTGTTAGATTAGACTTGGTTTCATGATTTTTATGAATCCCTTTTTTCTGTCTAGGCTGCTGAGAAAGAGGGTGGTCTCCCGCGACAAGTTGGAAACAAAACTGAATGTGCCTTGCTTGGGTTTACCACTGATTTACGGAAAGATTACCAAGCCATTCGCCTTGAATATCCAGAGGAAAAACTGTACAAAGTATACACATTTAACTCAGTCAGGAAATCCATGAGTACCATCCTTAAAAATTCAGATGGAAGTTACCGTATGTTCAGCAAAGGAGCGTCAGAAATCCTCCTGAAAAAGTAAGTACGCATTTAATATTTCAGATGAGAATGAGATTATTTGATAACTGCTAGATGGTTACAGGTGGTATTATTAGGGGGAGAACATTCTCAATACAGTATTTGATACAGTGTGTTATCAATATGTTTGATCCGGTTTTCCTGGAAGAGATGGCGCATTTGATAGTTTAATAGGAAGAAAATATGGAAAAAAAAACTTGGGTCTGCATGGGGAAATGTTTCACCCTAATGGAAATTACAGATATGGCTGATTCCTGTTGAAATTACTTAATTTAGCCTGCTAAATGTGACTAGCGGGTTTTAGATATGTCTATGTTTTTGAAAGAAATCAACACTTGTATTTACCTAGAATGCAATAAATGCAGCAAAAATGACTCTGTAAACACATTTACAATAAAATAAATGAAAATGAAACGTCACAAACAAAAGCTTAGTAATACTAATTGTTTTGAATGCAAGACTACGTACTTGTTTCATTAACTTACAAGTTATAATCTTTAATATTTCCCCAGGTGCTGTAAAATCCTGTCAAAAAATGGCGATGCTGGAGTTTTTAAGCCCACTGATCGGGATGATATGGTGAAAAAGGTGATTGAGCCCATGGCCTCTGAGGGCTTGAGGACCATCTGCCTCGCCTACAGGGACTTCCCTGTTTCAGATGGAGAGCCTGATTGGGATGATGAGGCTGATATCCTGACTGGTCTCACTTGCATTTGTGTGGTGGGCATTGAGGATCCTGTTCGACCGGAGGTAATTTCTCACATGACCTTTAATCCTATTACATCCACTTTCATACATGGAAAATGTGCATTTGATAGTGAAAACAAAGCAAGGACGTGCTGAGGTGCTCATTACTGTGAGTCAGCATGTGTTAACACCTAAACCCTGGGTGGTAAAATCTCCACAGGTCCCCGATGCTATTAAGAAGTGCCAGAGAGCAGGTATCACTGTGCGCATGGTCACAGGAGATAACATTAACACCGCTCGAGCTATCGCAACCAAGTGTGGCATTATCCACACCGGTGATGACTTCTTGTGCCTTGAAGGCAAAGAGTTTAACAGGCGGATACGCAATGAGCTGGGAGAGGTGAGGTGGTCAAAAAAACTTCTTGATCATTTTTCATTCAAATAAAAGGTTGATATTAAAGGCCTCATCATTTATTCAGATTGAGCAGGAGCGCCTGGACAAGGTCTGGCCCAAACTGCGCGTACTTGCAAGATCTTCTCCAACTGATAAGCACACTTTGGTCAAAGGTAATCAATTTTAAAACAGGACTGGTGCTAATACCTGTGGTGCGTTGTACAGTCTGACTGCATTTGAAATGTTTTGCTGTTTCTTCAAGGTATAATTGATAGCACCGTTGCTGAACAGAGACAAGTAGTTGCTGTCACTGGAGACGGAACCAACGATGGCCCTGCGCTGAAAAAAGCTGATGTTGGATTTGCGATGGTATGGTTTTACAGTTTTAAACAACTGACTAGCACATCACTATAAAAGAAACAATCTCACTATGTTTCAATCCATGTTGCGAATTTAATCTGAATATTGCAAAAATAATGAGCAAATGAAGCAGTGTTTCATCCCATGTGTTCTAGAGCCCGGCCGTTAAAGGATTTTGAAGGTCGATACCGATACAAATATTTGTTGGTTTAAAAATCCGATATTCCGATATATCTGCCGATATTTTTTTTATTTCAGAAACGCGCAACAAAACATTAACAGACTTCCCTAACATTAGTTATTTGTAGTTATTTATGAGTTTTAACTAAAATAATTTGATAATGCATTTT